AATCTTTTGTTAAAAGCAGGCAAAGGCGCTGTATTTCCTACCAGCTATCGCCCAATTTCTCGTATTAATGTTGATCTCAAAATAATTTGTAAAGCCCTAGCAAAAAGATTAGAGAAGGTAACCCCTTTCATAATACACCCTGACAAAATGATTTAATTAAGGGTAGAACAGTAGAAACATAGAAACTAGTATATTGCATATAGTATTGCAGTATAGATACAGAAACGGCTTTTGATAGAGTTAACTGGAAGTTCTTATTTGCAACTTTCCATACATTTGGTTTTGGGAACTTCTTCATAAACTGGCTACAAACATTATACAATTCACCAACAGCACATGACAGGACAAACGACCAAGTATCAGCTAGCTTCTGTCTTCAGAGGGGGACCAGGCTGGAATGCTCACTCTCCCCCTCACTGTTTGCTAACTTTATCGAACCACTAGCACCAGCAATTAGGCAAACAACAGATATTAAAGGCATAAAGTGTAAAAACATAGAACATAAAATCAGTCTTTATGCAGATGATGTGTTACTTTTTCTCCAGAACTCTCAATCCTCTCTCTCTCTCAAGCAATAGAACTGATAAACTCTTTTTCAACAGTTTCAGATTACTCAATAAACTGGTTAAAATCCACAAGTCTACCAATTAATTTCTCTTTTGTCAATTTGCTTAATACACAATTGGAGTCAGGGAATATTGCATACCTGGGAATTAATGTCTCTCCCAAGTTAGCAGATCTAACCAAACTAAACTACATCCCACTTTTGAAGAAAGTGGAAGATGATCTTGCAAGATGGAAATCCTTACCAATACGTAAGACATGAGACATCCAGGTAAGGCTGGATCCAGCCCCTCCTGGATGTCTCATGACTTACATATTCTGGAAGTTGTGCAAATGCAGGGATGGGAGTAGATATTCTGCTGGGGTGGGGCTGGGTTGGTGCTCTCGGACTCCGTGGGGCTCTGTGATGCTGCTGCTTTGGGCCCTGGCGAGATGGGCTGGGGTCTTCATGCCCTGGGGGGCATTTTGGGAACAGAGGTGCCTATTGGGGCTAGTGGGGAATCTGGCTCCCTGGAGGGCTTAGGCCAACCAGCCATTCCTCCCCATCCCCATACATTTTTCTCCTCCTGCTCCCTCACATCATCACACAATCATGCACATAGGACCTTGGGGGGTGGACAAGTCAGAGGTGCGGGCCGGGTATGGATCCCATTTCCGTATTCCTGTGGCAGCCTGCCCCCCAATTTTATTTGCACATTAAACACTTCCACCAATGACATTCCATGCAAACACACACTTAGGGCCTTGGGAGTGAGAACACTCAACGGCATTTGGCAAGGGGATCTTTCAGCCTCATCCCAAGTGCCGGTGCCCACTTCCAATTTTAAACTGCACTTAGACACAGAGGGCTGTGGGGGGAAGTGAGGTTGTGTGTTTGCATCAGCTGGCATAGGCCAGACGATACCTGCACTGCCCACTCACCACAGCCATGGAATACACCTCATCAACTCGCACAAACACTGTATTGGAGCAGGCAGAGGGAGATTAGGGGTCTTAGTACACCTCTGTTGTCGTTTGGCTTCCCGGGGCTGGAGGCTAGGTGGGGGAGCTGGCCATCTTGTTGGGATCTGGGGTGGTGGGATGCTTTGCTTAGCGTTAGGCGGGGGTGCCTGCTCATCATCACCCCAGCAGAAAGGGGCAAACTGTGGGAACAGGTGATGGTTGTACCCCTTTTGCAACAATACCGGAACCAGAGTGAATAGGGTGTGTATGGGGAGCGTCAGTGGGTGTCTAGCGTTCATTTTGTAAGTCTTAGGTTGTATGTGTATGTGTGAGCATGAGGGAGGGAGTGTGTGACTGTGTCTGGCTATGGCTGTATATGTCAGGTGGGGTCTTGGACTCCTCCCCTGTCCTGGGAATTTTTGTGCTATGGCACATCTTCGCCTATCCTCCCCCTGCCCCATTTGGTGTGGAGTGTGGTGCCTGAGTGTTCGCAGCTCCCGGGTCAGGGTGGCTTTAAGATTTTTCAATTCAATTTAAGTTTATTTATTTAGCGCCAAATCATGACAAGAGTCGTCTCAAGGCACTTCACATAGTAAACATTCCAGTACAGGTTAATTCATTAAGCCAATCAGAAAAAAAGTTTCCTATAAAAGGAACCCAGCAAATTGCATCAAGTCACTGACTTTACAGCAATCCACATACTAAGCAAGCATTTAGCAACAGTGGAGAGGAAAACTCCCTTTTAACAGGAATAAACCTCCAGAGGATCCTGGCTCAGTATAAGCAGCCATCCTCCACAACTCACTACGGATAGAGAAGACAGAGCAGACACATCCACACACCAACCCACATCCAAACATACAACATATATACCAAGTAATGTTTCTATGGCTACATTTTAAGTATCAGGCGTGACATTAATAGCAGAAGCTCTGATGCTCCACCTGAGAGTAAATCTGTAAGACTTGTCACCAGCATTCAGACATTAATTCTGTTTGCTTCACAGCCAGACAGGACACGGGGAAAAAAAAAAAAGAAACTTACTGCTGATCGCGCTCCACCCACGACCAGCGAGAGCAAATTGATTTAATTACAATAAAAGTTAAACATTCAAGAAGAGTAACATAAACAGGAAACAGAGATACTGTATTTGAAGGATGTGAGAGCAGCAAGAGGAAGAGGGGAGATGAAGAGGAGGATGTAGGAGGGTAGCTGTAATTATCCTATCCGTCTGCCACTGATGTAACGCTGCTTATTGTGTTGCCATTGTTTCGCTGCGGCTGCTCATCTGCATGTTTGTTTATTTGGGTTGTACGCAGGGTCGGCTCTCCAGTCCTCAGTCGGCTGAACTCATTGTTCAATCACACTGACTGAGAGTGCTCCACATTCGAGCACAAGAGACGTGCACGGCACATCCCGCTCTCGCACACAGAGCGAGATCACACACAGCCAAACACAAAGCTGTGTGGTTTCCTATTGTGGCAAATCTGAAATTGCAAAAAATAAAATGAAAAAGATCCCGCTCAGGTTTTATTAGCCACAAAAGAAAAGAGAAGGCAGAGAAATAATTTATATTGGTGCGGTTTCCCCAGGGAGCCATTCAACCAAATTATTTTTATACAAGTGACATGTAAGTGGTGTCTAACGTGACACACGGTGTGCAGAAAGATGCAGTGAGTGTGACCAACGCTGTGCATATTCCCAACATAATCGCACAACTCACTCAATATTGTTAGCCTTTCCTTTTGTCCTCTGCATTCTGCTAAACTTTAAATTGCACTGTAAACAGATTACAAACAGGAAACAGCAGTAACTGAAGCATTTGGTTAGAATGAGCTGCCAAATTCTTGCTACAAAAAGTTAGAAAAGATAAGGAGGGACACAGAGGCCCTAAGGAAAATGTACCACAACCTTTTGGTTCTGAAAAAGGAACATCGATAGGAATTAATCACTGGTACAAGGAGAAAAATGTACCAGTTAGCTACAATATAACATGTCAAAACTGCAACGACTGCACCCAACACCCTCTGATGAAGGATCCTTGTAGGAACCCAAAGAGTCTGCTGCTAATTTCCTCTAACCAGACATCTCAAGCTCGTTGTCCATGGCCTAACCCATTATGGAGGACATGGTGTCAAATAGACCACGACATTAGACGGATAGTCATTAAATTGTGGCTGATCATTTAAAGACCTTACAAGAACAATCAGATGCACACAGAAAGCAAATGGCCTCCAGAGGCATATCCAAGGGTCGTGAGTAATACTTATTATTTTATAGTCTTAAGTTAGTCTTAGTTCAAAGCACTATAAGAACTCTGAGATGCAAAGGTTTAATGTCCAATATAACCTTTAACCTTTCAGTAACTGATAAGGCAAATATATCAACTATAAAGTACCAAAAGTGTAATAGCTATTGGCGTGACACGAAAATTATTCTTGGGTTATCTCTTACGCATAAAAGTCAATAACACTGCAAAAAGGTGTTTTATAATAGGCATATTATAATATTCTGGGAAAATGTGAAGTAAATACAACCATCCAGAAATCCTCAGGGGGAAAGAAACGCCTTATTTCCATTTGTACGAATCTGTCTTCTCATTTCCTTCTTTCTTCTCATCAGCATGCTGAGTGCAACCACAAGCTTCAAAACGTAAAACGCAGAATGCGTTTAACGTTTCGACGTGTTATTATGCATCAGGTACTACAGGTCTCTAAGTTGGATGCCCACCACAGAAATGACTCCCGTCAAGTACTGCTCTGCTTTAAAGGTTCCTATAGCGACCTTTTTACCCTATGCTTTCATGACCAGCAAGATTACTATGTATTGTACATCATAATAGTGCTTGTTTTTTTTCTTGTAGTCTTTGTGTAATGGACAGAATAATACACCCACTACAAATACCAAATTTACTGATTCTGTTTATTTGTTTTTCCTTCTTGTTGAAATCTGATACTGACTGCCTTGTGTTTGTGACACACTTGTAGCAGAAAGCTCTAATAGGAGACTGTCAGCTAAGCACCATGCCTGTGGCATTTCCACTTTGGAATCAATAACTGTCTACAACTCGGCATCCTACTGTAGCATGGCACTGCAAACGGAGCAGGAACTCATCCCTTTTACACTCGTTTCTCTTACTCTGTCCCTCTACTTCCTCCCCTCTCACCATCAGCATTACGATCGTAGCCCAGGCTTAATGATATGTGGGAGTTTTGAATGTTTAAGACAGCGTGTCATGCACACAGTAAACTGTACTCCATATGAAAGAGGAAATGCAACAGCTATTAACCCTCTGAGGTCTTTTAGATGTGGTTGACTGATGAGGCACTCAGCTGATCACCACTATGTCTTAGTGTCAATACTGACTGTTAAAATAAGTCTTCTTACATTAGTCTTTTGACAATCCATCAACCTGGGTATGGGTTTCCTCCAAAGAAAAAGTGAGAGTTGTTTTTCTTTGATTTTAGCATGATGTTCTTAATGTTTGGACTTACAGGATGGCTTGGCGGTCTCCAATATGTCTGGGTAGCCTTATCGTGGTGCTGCATCCATTTGTCTGTTGGCCTGTCACTCGGTCGTAGTGAAGCTGGAGCCCTCTGGTGGTGGCACTGACACTTGACCTGCCGTCCTTGATAGGACTGGGGAGAGGGAAAGGAGGGAACGAAGGAGAAAAGGGAGAAAGGATCTTAGGCTTTAGGGGAGTCATTTCCTTCATCATTAGAAGATTTTGACAAAAGTTTAACGTTGAAAAGTATTTAACCTACTAAGGCTGATCAAATCAAGGCCATTAAGAATGTGAGCCATGGCTGACGCTTATCACGCATTTTTTTTAGCCGTGATGGTTATTTTTAGCAGTTTATTGGAATAAAGAACATATGCTTTTAACATTCAACACATCAGCCTTGAAATAAAATAAACCAGTACTATTTTTCTCATGTTTAAGCTTGGTTCACTTCCCGTGTATCTAGTTTTATAGTCAGTATTATTCAGGTTAAACATTAAGATGTTTTATCATGGTTACATGAACATAAATGCTGATGTTATTATGATAATTAAGCGTTTTTCTATTATTAATCTGTTTTACATCTTTCATTGATAGAAATATCCTTTTAGATCAGCGGTCTGCAACCTTTACAATCCAAAGAGCTGCTTTTCACCTCAGTCACCAGAATGAAAATGTTTTTAGAGCTGCAATGGTTACAGAACCTTTTAAAACTTTTTAGAAATATCTACAAAAGAGGCTCCTAAAGGGCCATTAATAAAAGTTTTCTTTTTTCACAAAATTCAGCTTTTTTCCCTCAAATGAAGGTTAAAAATATTTTATTCCCTCTACCCTAAATATTTACTGTATAAATATACTATTTACTGTATAGATTTGTTGTCACCATTTTCTTTCTTTACTTTTTAGGTTTTAAAATTAAGGGAAAAAAAGAATTTTTTTTTTGTAAAAAAGGAGTTGTTGATATTTGCGGAAAACATTCCTGGTACAAGAACTGGTATTATTATATGGTGGAAATTCAGTTATTTTATGAAAACTCGATTATGCCTTCACTTTTATTGCAACTATAAGTTAAAAACATTATTACGTATTTTTATTTTTAGCAAAAAAACTATTAAGAGCCATTGTGGAAGGCCCAAAGAACCACTTGTGGTTCCTAGGCCGCGTGAAGAAGAAGAAAATATTATTTCTGTAGCACTTCTCAAGATAAAAATCACGAGGCATGTTGCAGACCCCTGCTATGGATGAAAGTTAAAGAAAAAGTATGGCATAACGGAAGGTGTGTGAGAGAATGCTTGTCATTGTAACATTGGTTAGAAAACTGACAAGCTTGGCCGTGACATGTATAAGACATTTAAAGTGACAATGTGTAGTATTTAACATTAGTCTCTGGAAATATCCATCAAAATGTTGTGAATGAATTAAACGATGCCCAGTTGTTCAAACAGATTGGCAGATTCACTACATGTAACCATAAAAATCTGTTCTAAAACACATGGGAGTGGGTCTAAGTCTCTGGGCGACGCCATATTGGATATCATGGTTCCTTCTACGGAAGCCCGTGAGGACAAAACACATTTACTGATTTGTAACAAAAGGTAACAAAACTTTCACCAATAATAAAAGTTGTTGTTTTACACATTTACCTCTTCACTCATTGCCAGTGATGAAAGGGAATCTGACAGGGTTGTTATTTTGCTGGATGTTGCACTCCCAGGGATTTTTGACCCTAATGGCCATCCGTTGGTAAGGTCTTATTTGAACACAAAAATAATGCTTGTTTGTAATAATTTAGGTATGTACTTCGCCAGGGAAGGCAAGGCAAGGCAACTTTATTTGTATAGCATCTTACAAGGGTATAAAATCAACCAAAGTGCTTCACAGACACTAAAAACATTAATTTCCCTCTGGGATTAATAAAGTTTTTTTGAATTGAATTTGAATTGAATTAAAAACAATACACAACATAAAAATGTACAAAAACTAAAGCTTAAGAACTAACACGGAAAAAACACTAAAAAGAGTCGTGCTGGGTTAAAAGCCAAATCATAAAAATAGGTTTTCAAAAGAGATTTAAAACCAGACAGTGAAGAGGTCGACCCATTGCCCAATGGCAGAGCAGTCCAGAGCCTAGGGGCTACAGAAAAAACCCTGTCACCTCTGAGCTTGCATCTTGTTTTAGGGACTTCCAAGAGCATCCTATCACATGACCTCAGACACTGTGCAGGGGAATAAAAAACTGTCATGGTCTGCGTCTGCGTCACCCCTCGTGTGTCTCCTTGTGTTCTCCATCCCTCTCTAGGTTCTCCTTTTGTGTCTCCTAGCGCCCCCAGGTGTCCTTGTTTTGCCTTTTGCCTCATGTGTCTCCTTGTGTTCTCCATTCATCTCTAGGTTCTCCTGTCGTGTATCCTAGTGCCCTCTTGCGTCATTGTCTATGTCTTCTTCATGTGTTCCCATAGCTGCAGCCCCTCTAGTCCCCCCCCCCCCAGGTATCTCCCTCCAGGTCCTGTGCTCCCCGTGGTCCTCCTTAGTCACGCCCCTGTAGTGTCTCTTTCTGTAGTGTTTTCCTTTAGTTTCAGCTGTTCATTTATTAGTCTCTTTTGGTGTGTTTCTCTCCCCAGATTATTAGTTAATTATTTAGCTTTTAGTGTGTTTCTTTCCCCAGATTGTTAGTTATTTGGCTCTTGTTTCTAGGTTCTGTCTTAGATCATGTTATTTTTCTTCCTCCTCAACTCACTGCCCTCTCCCTGATTAGTAATTGAGTTCACCTGTTCTCTCTCTCCCCACACACCTGCAGTTCATCTCCCTCTCATCCTCCCAGTGTATATAGTCCTGTCTGTGTTTCTGTATGTTTTGTCGGTCCATTGTTTTTCTGTCAGTCTCGTCTCATTTTTGGACCGCTAGTGTTATTAGTGCTTCTTGAGTCTCTAGTGTTTTTCTTGGATCTCTAGTTCAGTTGTTGGACATTTTTGGATTTTGGCTTCCAGCCCTTTGGATTTATTTTTGTTTTGGTTCATCCTAAAATAAAAGGATTTTACTTAATCTCCGCTCCTGCCTCGTGTCGTCCTGGGTTCTGCATTTTGGGTCCTAACCTCCTCCTGGCTCGTGTCGTGACAAAAACCAGAAGCTCAGAGAGATACTCTGGAGCAGGGCCATGCAGAGATTTAAAAGCCCATAAAAGCACCTTGTACTGGATTCTAAAACGAACAGGCAGCCAGTGTAGTGAGGTCAGGACAGGAGTAATATGCTCCATCTTTTTCGTCCCAGTGAGCAGCCGTGCAGCAGCATTCTGCACCAACTGAAGACGTGAGAGGTGGGATTGCGAAACACCAAGGTACAAAAAGTTACAGTAAGCAAGCCTTGATGTAATAAAAGCATGAATTACACAAGGAAAACACACACTGTCACTTTAACAACCTTTTGCATTGCCCGTTTGGATTTAAAATGAGACATTTTAACGGTTGTACGAGGAGATGCTTTTCAGCTTTTAGTTTGTTTTTGAAGATGAATGGACTGAACATAAACCCACCTTATGTGGACTGTTGACTAAACTGATGTTTATGGAAGCCAAACTAAAAGGACAAAGTCAACGTTCTGTCAAATACTATTACATGATGATTTACATACCTGGGCTGCAACTAACTACTATTTTAATAGTCGACTAGTCACCGACTATTGAAACGATTAGTCGACTAATCGGATAATTATTAAAGTTTTCTTAAATTTAGCATAAGATTGCTTTAATTATGTGAAAAATGATAATAAACACAAGAAAGATGGTTCTTCAATGGAAAATGCATATTTTATTGAACTTTGCTGCTGATTCATACTAAAAGTAAATAAAATGCTCAGTCTAACACCAATTAGGCTCAGTGCCCAGTCAGTACAGACATAAATGCATAAATAAAATTAAAATACTTTTGTCAGACACAGTCAGGCATAACATTAAGTCTCTTTTTTTTAAAGCGAAAATACATTAAAAAAATGTACAATGTACATCTGAAACAAAACGTATTGGCTTCCGTGTTATTTAAATCTTACCGAGGTGAGTCAGACTCTGTTTCATTCAACTGTCCGACGTGCTTTCTCTTTAAGTGTTCATGCATCACCGAGGTGCTGTCCTGATACACAAGGACTGCTTTGCAAACAATGCAGGTAATCTTTTTATTCGCCGAATCCAGGCTAGAATGCTCCCAAACTTTTGATGTTTTGGTACGCGTAGCTGCTGTGTTGGACGCCGCCATTTCTGTTAGTTGACGCTCAGCAGTGAAGCTATTGTGCATGTGCGACTCTCGGCAGAGATTGTAATGAAGAGAGATGCCTCACTCGGTTGGAAAAACACGTCTGGCGACGTCGACAATGAAATTCATTGTCGACTATTTCTATTGTCGATATTTGTCGACAACGTCGACGAATCATTGCAGCCCTATTTTATGCTTTGCCTCTGCCTCTTCATCAAGCTTGGAAACCAGATCTCTGTTTGTTTATATGCTGTTCCACCTCTAAAAACACACTGTTATATAAAACAGTCACACACACCTCCTCTCTCTTCCCTTTTCACCTATTATGTTTCATTCAGCCAGCTCTTACTGAGTTCAGTCTTAGAACAGTATCTAACACCTCCTTTTGGTAACCTGACTTTAAGATAGTTTCTAAACCAATTGTGGGGACAGACGCAAAACCCAAAAGACTTTGATTGTCTAATTTGAGATACAACAGGAACCAGCCGTCTTTGCAGGCTCTGAAGCTATTTTGCTGTAATTGCTATTTTCACACAACCGAGAATGTAGGGTTGGTCCTCCCATTAAACCAACTCCCATACCTTTGTGTGTGTGTGTGTGTTAGTCCCCGAGTGCAAAAACATCAGAGCAGGAGAACACATTACAGCTTCAGATTTCCTCTCCGTCTGGATTTCCACAAGAAAATTCAGCACAGAGTCAGAGGAGTCAATTTTATTTTCTTCCTTCTTCACTTTCACTCTTGCAGTCTCTACACTCATTAAAGCCAGCTACAGATCTGAAAACAAATCCAGCTGTTTTATTATTATCATTATTATTATTATTATTATTATTATTATTATTATTATTATTATTATTATTATCATCATCATCATTATTATTATTATTATTATTATTATTATTATTATTGTTATTATTCTGTTTGCTTGTAGGGCGTTAAGTGCGCTGCAATAATGTATCATGTGATGGACCAGCTGTGGGTGGGTGTTAATTCTAATTGGACAGATAGCATGTCGTGGATACGCTGGTGGGCAGGCATTGCTCTGACATTTTGGTATTTCTCAGTATGGAAGGGATTTGAATAATGTCAGCTAGACATGATTTTTGGGCTAACAAGGGAGCACTAATGAACGTTAGAGCGGAGACTCAGACGGTCAGAATCAAAGAGAAAGAATGTTGGGGTAACCGTGCATGTAGGAGTAAAGCACAAAGCCCATCAGATGAGTTTCTACAACAAACAGCATCACAGGTTGTGTTTTTGTACCATTAGGAAGCTAAATAGCTGTTACAATCCCACCCTCTTGGTTTTTTTATACCTTATTTGTGGAACATATAATAAATTAGTCACCGCAGCAGATAATAGAAAGTACTAGCTGTGTCCAGACACGCTCACCAGAAACACTTCTGTAAAAGGAGTGGTGATCAAGGATGTGAACCACTGAATGACAAACTAAATTTGAAGGCTACATGAAAGCACAGGATGCGTATTGATATTCCACATGTTCCACTGACATTCAAAATCAAATCATTTATTTTTGATCATTTACATTTTTCCATTTAGTTTAAATGGCAGTCGTCTCTTTCATCTATGCCTCATACAGAAAGTTTCTGAAACATGGGAAATAAGTGCACATTATCATAAAGACAACTCTATATTTCTGTCTTTGGCACAGCTTGTTTTATATTTCAGAACCGTGAAAAAAATTTCTCACAAAGTAACATTAAATTTAAAAAAGCAACTAATGACATTTTTCTCATACTTTCTGCTATCATTGAGTAAAATATTGTGAAGATTATTATTCTAATAAAGTGACCCACATTGTAGTCATTAAAGACCGTGTATGAAATATTAAAATGATGGAGGAAATATTTTTATGTTTGCTGTATTGGAGTCTATGGTTTTTGAGCACATTGATTGTTCATGACTGGAAGTGTTTTATTAATTATTATTAATTATTTTGACTTGTTGCTTGTTGTTATGGATCACAAATTTGGTAAAACATTTGGCATTTTAGGTTAATAAATCATATTTCAACCATTTATTTTGTTTTTCCATATACAGTAAGTGTTTCAGTTATTCCAGAGATGTCATCATTAAAGGAGATATATTATGACTTTTTTGGTCGACACAAAACATGATTATGAAGTTTTTTGCAGTAAATCTCTCTCACGATAAGTAATTTCAGCAGTTTTATTCTTGACATTTTCAGTACTTTCCAGAATGAGCCTTTTCAGGGCTCTGTCCCTTTAAGAAAATAAGCACTGGCCATGCCCACCAAAGGCTAAAGCGGCAAATGACTTGAGTGCACACCCCATAACCAGATGGTTACAGGCTCGTCCTTGGCCAAAATTGCTTGCTGCTGGTGGTGGTCGGAGGGAGTGACGCCAGTATTTTGCAGCCTTGTTTATGTCAGCCACTGCCAACAGTTGTGATGTAAAGTGCCTCGGGGATTGTAGAACTATAGAAGGTGCTAATACAGACAATTTACTCAGGCTGCTATAAGCTGAGAAGCTCTTATATATGGGAGGGGCTCAGGGAAGATTCTATTCTATCTTGAAACATTTCTAAAACCAGTGACAGAAAAGTATGGACAGAATTTATTTCATGTTTGGAATGCTTATAGAGGCAGTAGAGACCCACAAGGCAGCACAAAAGGAAGTCCCAAGTTGAAAGTATAGTATATTACTGGAGTTTGATGGGTTCTTAAGACGTATATCTATTTTTGATAGCTACAGATTCAAGTTTTCAGCTTTTTGCATGTACCGGTCTGGATCATACTGACTCACCATGTGTTCCCGCTGATGCTGTTGTAGCTGTTGACACTGTAATGTGAGCTGAGCGATAGTCTTGTCTCGGCTCCTCAACTCCTCTCTGAGTACTTGTACTTCCTTAATCAGTACCTCCATCTGCATGCACAAACATACAGTTGGTTGCACTAATAGGAGACAACCTCAGGTAGGTGAAACACTGTATTGTTTTCATGTATACACCTTATAGCCAAGAACATTGTGAATCCAGAGGAAAGTTCCTCACCTGTGAAACAGTGGTGATGTCCTCAGCCTGCTCTGAAACATCTGCTGGAGAGTCTGTTTCCTCAAGCTTGAAACGTAAACACACACACACACACACACACACACACACACACACACACACACACACACACACACACACACACGCACGAACGCACACACACACACGGGGCATACAAACAGAATCAGAGTACAAAGTGAGCAGGATAAACTGCCTCAGGCATGCCTCAAAAGCAATATTTCACTTTGGTAGAAGAATTTTTCTCCTTCGCACAGAAACCCTGGTGACCCTGAACGGCCCGCCACCAGTACTACATACCGGAGGCAAAGCATGAGATTAAGAATTCAGTTTATTTATTTTACTTAATTCAAAACTGTCCCAATTTTGGTGTGCTTAAATAATTGCAGCACTACTTAAAACTGTATTTCCTTACAGATTTCCATCCTTCTGGAATTGTATTTTAATTCAAATTTTTGCCAGTTGTTGAATGTAGACAACTGATTGATCAAAAACAAATTAAAAACATATGAATAACACCAAATCATGTGACCTGTAGCAACACATGTCGGCTGTGTTTGGTCAAACCCTAAACGCATTGCTTGACATGCCTGGAAGTGTTACATTTTTTACATTCTGTCACTCTGTTCACAGGAATTGGTAGTTCAACTCATTAAAATTACACTGAAATACTAAGATACTGCAAAAATATATTTAAAAAATGTAAAAAAATAAATGGACTATGTAGACTGGTGTGGAACTGTTTAACATTAGATTCCTTGAGTTTATTTTCTATTAAAAATAATTGAGTTATTATGGCCCAAATATCTTTATGTAGACATAGATATAGATATAGATTGCTCAGTGAAGGTCTCAGACAATAGCAAACAGATGAAGAGACGCTGGAAATACCATTGTGGAAGGACAAACGCCTACATGGAATGTACCACCGACGAATAACTGAAGTGGCGGATATCAAGAAATCCTACCAATGGCTAGAAAGAGCTGGTCTGAAGGACAGCACAGAGACACTCATCATGGCTGCACAGGAACAGGCCCTGAACACCACAGCAACAGAGGCTAAGATCTACCACACCAGACAAGACCCAAGGTGTAGGCTATGCAAAGAGGCCCCTGAGACAATCCACCACATAACTGCAGTTTGTAAGATGCTGGAAGGGAAAACCTACATGGAACACCACAACCAACTGGCTAGCACCGTGTACAGGAACACCTGTGCAGAGTATGGACTGGAAGCCCCAAGGTCAAAGCGAGTAACACCCTCTAAAGTGGTTGAGCACAAGAGAGCCAAGCTCCTGTGGGACTTTCTGAACCAACTGGACATTGTAGTGGTGGACAAACAACAGAGGGCAGCCATTGTGGTTGATGTGGCAATATCAAGGGATGCAGCATCAGGAAAAAGGAATGTGAGAAACTAGAGAAGTACCAGGGCCTCAAAGAAGAACTTAAGAAAGCCTGAGGAGTGAAGACATCGGTGGTGCCCATAGTCATCGGGGCACTCGCGGCAGTAACCCCCAAACTGAAGGAGTGGCTAAAGCAGATCCCAGTAAAACCATCAGACATCTCAGTCCAGGAAAGTGCAGTTCTAGGAACAACTAAGATTCTGAGCAGAACTCTTAAGCTCCCAGGTCTCTGGTAGATGACCCAAGCTTGGAAGAACGAGACCACCCACGGAGGGTGACAGAGCAATGGAGGGTAAGTTAATAAAGATAGTTTGCATTCACATCTTGACAAAATTGAGTCTAACCTCTAGTAACGATTTGAGTCTGAGCAGCTGATTCTTGAGAAAGCTGCAGTCCTGAGTCATGTGTTCGAGTGTGAGTTTGTCCAGCGTTGGTCTGTAGCCCCACTGCCTGCCCTCAGAATGGTTATACCGCGAAGACATCCTCGGGCCCCTGAAGCCATCATAATTCTGGAAGACTTGAGCCCTGAGAAGAAAAAAAAGCGTTTTAATGCTCTGGTTTAATTGTTATCAGGTGTTTTTTAGCCAGTTTTCTAACCAACCTGCCATCACTGTAGAGGTGATCTGGACCACTCCACCGATGTTGTTTATGTCTCTGCCCCTGTCGACTGGCTTGTTTGGGACGCTCAATGCAGGACATTCTGTCAAAGTCTATAATAAGAGAATTAAAAGCAGCAGTGAGACGAAGTAAACATGTCCACAGAAACCGACACTCTAAGCAAAAGGAATTAAAAAGCAAATGATTTGAATTTTATAACATCAATTTCTTATTTTTGGCAGGAAATAAGTTAAAAGTAAGAGCATCACTTTTTTTTTAACTTTTTTTAGTTAGTTATATGTTACTATATAACTGCAGAGTAAACATGAACCCATACATATAATGAATATAATGAATTAACTTGCTTTCAAAGGCTCAAAACTCTTTTTCATCCCATTGTGCTTCTTTAACCCTCTCAGGCTCAAAATAAGTTTTGATAAAAGGAAAAACAACTAAGCCCTTCAGGGGGTACTTCTGAGTTAAATAATGCTCATGAAATACGTATGTGGAGTAACCAGGTAGGTAGGTTTTAATGTTGCAAATCTGCAACGCCTGCCTCCAGAGGGTTAAACTGTCACCATCGAAAGAAAATCTTCTCTCACACTCTTGACAGGCCATTTCATTTCCAAGAAGCTACTGTAAAAGGACAGAGTATTTAACAACACTCAGTAGAATTCAGCTGTGAAGTCAACCGTGACTACGACGTCTCTGACAACTAACAGAGCGTGATCTCTAAGAAATCCTAACAACTCAAGTTTTTAAATGGCAGACACTCAGATACTGAAAGAAAGCATTAAAAGTAGATAACAGGTATTAAAAAAAGGCTTCATCCAGTCACTTCAGCAGAGTTGTTTTGAATACTTTACCCAGGGAGTCACCACGCAGACACAGGAGCAGACAATGTTCACGATCTGTTTTGCATACGGAGCTGTTACGTTCCTGGAAACTTTAGTGACCCCAATGAGTTTTTTTAGCTTAGAAAATCTAAAAAAAAAAGTCAAACAAACTGAATATATTCCAACTGAATAAGTCCAGAAATGTAGATGAAGTCAAACTTGTTGAGTGTGGAGGGAAATGACTCCTTGTCTTGTCAGCTGATGACTTGTTAAAGGGCCAAGGAAGAAGTCAGCCCAGCTCGCCCGCCCTGTCTGTGTTGACAGCCTTGTTTTTCTGGGAACTCCCTAGGAACTGGAGCTGGTGGGAGAGAGAGAGAGGACTGTGGTGGTGCTGGGGAAGAAGAGAGTGAGGTGACTGGTTGGCGTCCAAGCTAGCACGTAACCGGCATGGAGACAGAGTTTGTGGCCTCTCCCCCTTTACGGGAGGTGACAGCTGCATAAAAACACAACACGAGTACTCCTCAGCCTTCCTCTCTCCTCTCCCTCTTCGTGCTTTATTTCTTTAGGAGAAATGTTTTTCCTTTTGCTGCATCTCTTGGCCTCCACCATGGTCTGGACTCTGTTCATTTCTCTCTTGAACTCTACCCATGACGTAGGGAGCTATAAATATGGCTGCTACCCGAAAAGGGGCAGGAAGGGACGACGCTGTAATTCACATTCCTTTAGAGTGAACACCCCACCACCACCACCCCTCTCACCGTCTCTTTTTCTCAGAAACAGGAAGCTCACTGTTTACAGACATTGCACTTTAATTTCTAGGTTAATTAAATACAGCCGGATTCTCAGCAGGACGTTTAATTCACTTTAGTGTAAGTTTTTATGCTGGACTTCCAAAATACCAATAAAACACAAGTTATAAACACACCTAAGGGAACATTTAACACTAAGTTCTCACTTTTGGACTTTAAACTCTAATCTGAAGTAGAATCATAAGTGAAACAAATGTGATCTCGTAAAAAGATGAGGGTTCTGTTCGGATCAATGGAATATTAGGGTTTTTTGAAGCATGCTTCTATTTCGAACCATGAAAAAAAGAGGCTTGTTTCATATCGGACCATACCATGCCAGTTTATGACCCATTAAAAAACAGGAGCTGGCCAAAGCGCCTCCCAAACAACAACATAAAAATAGAGATAAAACAATCAGTTAAAGCAGATAAAAAAAGCAGTCAAAGCCCAAATAATTAAAGTAAAAAGTTAAAAAAAGGAGTCACTATCTAAAAGCCAAATCATAGAAGTGTGTCTAAAACCATGACTTGAAGACAAAGGATGATTGTCTGTTGAATTGTGATTGCCAGAGAAAAGGAGCAACATACATGAAGGCCCGCTCCCCCCTTGCCTTGGTGTTCATAGTGGGGGTGCAAAGTAGCAGGCGGTCAGCTGACCATAGCAAGCGCACAGGCACATAGGGCATGAGGTCTAACAAATATGAAGATGCCAGACTGTTCAATGTGTTATAAACTTTTTTTTTTTCAATTCAATTCAAGTTTATTTATATAGCACCAAATCACGACAAAAGTCGTCTCAAGGCACTTCACATAGTAAACATTCCAGTACAGGTCAGTTCATTAAGCCAATCAGAAAAAAGTTTCCTATATAAGGAACCCAGCAAATTGACTTGATGCAATCCTCATACTAACCCCTTCTTTCCACCGGAGCTGCCAGCAGCACGTTACTGCAGCAGCACGTCTCGCTCGCGTAAGCTGCTGCTTGGCCCTTCCCACGAGGCGCGAAGCAGCAGGGGAGCAGCTGTCACCGACAGAGCACGAAGTAACTTTGTCAGTGAACACGACAACAAGCAGGAGAAAACTACAACATGGCTCCAAAAGGTTTGTGTTTTATGATCTGTCCGTTTTATAATCGCCAATACGGACCTGAAAAACAAAGGAGACCGCTAGCTAGGTGATAACTTCTCACGGGGCCGCATATTTAGTAACCTTTTTTAAAAGTAAAGCAACCGGAAGGCAGTACGTTTCTTTATTCTGAAAATCTCGGGAGCTTCGCTCCATTTCCGCGTCCAATTTCCTGTCTTTGTCATGACTCGAGGGAGATGTTTAACCCAAGACATGCAGAATAAACACAACTTCAATGGTGAGTAAAGAAAAATCTTTTTACTTTAGAACAGGAACAAAAGGGGCACTGGAAGGTCCAGTGAGGGTGTGCCGTTCGGCTTAAGTCAATTTAATAGTCCCAGATATGCGGAAAGGGTGTCAGCCTAGGTGAGCGTAGGTGGTGGCACAGCGGGCTGAGGTGGATGAGGCAGCGGAGATTAAACGAGCAGGTGTGGAAGAGGATGGGACGTGGTTCTGGAACTCCGGGGTTCGAGCGGCGAGTAGTGTGTAGAGTTGAGTATCCTGAACAGAACAAACAAACAGGCTTCAGAGGAAAATCCAAAAACATAATCCAGATAAAAGTCCAGGGTTCAGAGCCAAAAAATCCAATATCTAATTCTAACAAGCAAACGAGCAAACAAAGTCGAGAGGCTGGGGCTACCTAACAGGTGCAATCATCCGGCGTAGTGTGGTGTCTCCATCCTCCCTTTATACCCTACCTCCAGATTGGAGATTCGGCACACCTGCAGCTCCCTCCGCTCCTCACCTGTGGAAAATTTCCTCAGAGATGGTTATTGTGGAAAGAATGCTCACCTCAGCTCAGGAACATGACAGTCTTTCCTTCCCCAAAAATGTCGAACTTGACCCGTTTCAGAGGCGTTGCACGTAGAGAATAGAACCGGCGCGTAAGGGCCGCGACATGCTGCTCCGGAGACGCGGCCGACTCGCGCTGCTGACAGCTGCTGACGGCTCCGGTGGAAAAGGTTCTGTTGACCACAGCGGTTCCTATCAGCAGCTATGACGTGCTGCTGCAGTAACGTGCTGCTGACGGCTCCCGTGGAAAGAAGGGGTAAGCAAGCATGCAGCAACTGTGGAGAGGAAAACTCCCTTTTAACAGGAAGAAACCTCCAGAGGATCTGGCTCAGTATAAGCAGCCATCCGCCACGACTCACTGGGGATTGAGAAGACAGAGCATGCGCGCGCACGCACACACACACAAGGGCCCGACCGATATGCTTTTTTGGGGACCGATACGATACCGATATAAAACTTTTAACAGAGCTTAAACCCTTCATTCTCTGCCTTTTTGATGCAAACTTATTTCTCTATTACACACCAAAGAACTGTCTCAATAGCTCACTAGGGTTTCCAAGTAATGCAAATAAGATTTATTTAGCAGATCTCAAAAACAACAGAACACACAAACTCAGTCACAGCATAAATCTAACAATCAAGTTTTTTCTTGTAAACTGTGGTTTCCACAAATACATTTTAACTTAAAGGAATATTCCACCACTCAGTAAAAGTGTGTCTTGTTAAGATTCCCCAGAGTTAGACAAGTCATAAAAAGCATTTTATAACCAGCCCAATACGATCTGGCAGCAGTTGGTTTTCTTAGTTTAGCATAAAATAATATAAGTGAATTCACAAACATTGTAGTGTTTTTATGCAAGCCTTCTCTTCCATTGCTTTATGCTAAAACAACTGGTTACAAAATGTTTTTCTGACTTAGCTAACTCTGGGGAATCTAACAACACACACACATTTAGGGACAGAAGATCCCTATAAGAATATTAAAATAATAAAAATGCAGCAATAAATAAAACGTAATACTTGTGCTTTGTAACAAAGTAACACTCTGTGGAAGTTAACTTGGTGAACTTATTCACCCTGGACAGGAAATAATTGCACATAAGAAACATAAATAAGAATAAATAAATAAAAAGTTCCAAAACAATAATTTGTGTTCAAAGTTCAAAGGAGTGGAGCCACACAACGTGAGTTCATAAAGCTGGCGCCATCTGCTGGAAAGGTAGCGCAATATCGGCCGTCTTTTTGGCCAATAGCCGATACTGTTAATGACCCCAATATCAGTCAATAATATCGGCCGGCCGATATATCAGTCAGGCCCTAACACACACACACACACACACAAACAAAATATATATACCAAGTAATGTGTCTATGGTTACATTGTGATTTCTTAGTAAATGTTCTATTTGGTGAGAGATAAACTTTATAGTATTTATCCTAGTGAATCTACAATTAAACGGGTAAACTGGTGGAAGCACATTCAATGTCAAGGAAAGTTAATGTTATTATCAGGAGAGGGAGAATGATTAAATGGTTAGCAACAGTGTTCAAGACGATGGCCCCCACCATGAGGGCACCACATCTTAGCAGAACATCAACAAAAAGGAGGATCTTAACCCTCTCAGGCTCAAAATAAGTTTTGATAAAAGGATGAACAACTAAGTCCTTTAGGGGTACTTCTGAGTTAAAAAATGCTCGTGAAATACGTATGTGGAGTAACCAGGTAGGTAGGTTTTAACATTGCAAATCTGCAATGCCTGCCTCCGGAGGGTTAAACTGTTTTGCATAGTTTACAGAGTCATGGCGAGAGGTCATGGCATGTATCACAGATTCCAAGTGCGGCCGTTTCTAGATCGGCTTCAGGCGCGTTAAACAGCGAAATTGAAAGAAACATGACTTTTTGACCGCAATTATCTGGGGTACCACTGTAAATCCTGCATCCAGTTTCACCCCAAGACTGGTAACACACCTCTTGAGGTCCAAACTCAGAAGAGGTGCGAGACAGGTTTTTGTAGTCCAAAAGAATGGACTCAGTCTTTGACTTGTTAGGTTTAAGGAAGTTAGTTGCCAACCACCCCTACACATTAGAGAGACAATCTGTGGGCAATAAATCTGTGTTTAGCCAATTCATCCTGAAATATATCTGATAATCATAAGCATAGATATGATAGCCTATCCTGTCCTGCTCAAAAATCTTTCCCAAAGGCAAATCTTAAAAGGAGTGATCAGATTTTTAACTTAAATGTTGTCTCTTTATTAGGTCCACCCTGCTCATACTGGCTTTAACCATCAGAGCAGCCTTGCTTTATGCACCATGGATTCAACAAAGTGTTAGAAACCGTTCTCAGAGATTTTCTCCATATTGACAGTAATAACATCACACAGTTGATGCTGAGTTTCTGTTTTCAGATGCGCTTGATGATTGGAATTTCCTGTTATCACCCCCTAAAAGATGCTGGACTGAATGGGCATGGACAACAGCATTACTCAGGTAGGTTGTGCTGTTTAAACCAGGCTAAATGAGGGCCAAGAGAATCTCCTCCACAGCAGTACAGCAACAGCCTGAACCATGCTTTAATGTTAATTACACAAAATTATGGCCCAGCCATTTGAAAAATGTAGCTAAAACATAGACTTGTCAGACCAGATCATGTTTCCAATCCACTTGCCACTTTTGGTGATCCTGGGTGAATTGCTGTTTCAGTTTCCTGCCCTTAGCTGACAGGAGTGACACCCAGTATGGTTTTCTGCTGCTGTGGTCCATCTCCTTCAAGGGTCAGCATGTTGTGTGTTCAGAGATGCTTTTCTGCAGACCTTGTGGTTAAACAAGTAGTTATTTGGGCTGCTGTTGTCTATCAGCTTCAGCAAGTCTGACCATTCTCCTCTGACCTCTGACATCAACAAGACATTCTCATCCACACAACTGCTGCTCACTGGATATTGTATATTTTCAGACCACTCTCTGTAAACCCTAGAGATAGTTCAGGGTGAAAATTCAAGTTTACCAATAGTTTCTGGTACAAACAACCAAGCCGCAATTAAAGTCAATAAAATTCTTGTTTTTCTTCGTGCTGATGCTCAGGTTGAACTTCCCCACATCGAGATGTCTTGCTGTGATGTGATTTGCTGATTTCTACTTGCGTCTACAAGAATCTGAACAAGGGTTCCGAGGGTTAGGATTAGGGTGGCTGGTGTATAATACTAAAATGGAAAAAAAAAAGATGTGTATTTGCCTGCTTCCTGGGGTTAGATCCAACTGGATTAGATGTAAACATAAAAATAAAATTGCAAATCAGAATTTTAACAAAAAACAATACCAGAAATGTAATCTGAACAGATTTTTGCAATTGAATTATCACCTCTTTGGAAGTTTGTCTGCGTCTGAGCACTATGAACCTAATAAAGAAGGGCTTAAAATGTAAAGCTGCGGCATTAGACCAAGTAATCGTCAGCTGAGTCTGTCTAATAAACAGGCAGCTGTATTTGTGTTTGTGCATCTGTGGGCTCATGCTCCTTCATAAGCTTTCTGTAGACCCGTGACAGAATCTACACAATTTTACGCTGCTGAAGGGAGTCGTGTTTGTAAAAACTAAGCCTGTCAAAGTCATTCACAGACAACTTGCTGCATTAAATCCATTAGCAATGAATTGTGCCGTCGACATAAAACCGACAAGAGAAAATTCACTTTCAAAAATTCATTATATTTCATGTAAAGAAAGGGCTGTTTGTCTTCTTCCAAAATGCCACACAAGGAGCTGTAATGGTGTCAACAATGTTATGATGTGGTAATACACTGACCTAATTACCTTTAACATACACCAAGATGCCATTTTACTTCATTTTAATGAGATTGTTTGTAAGAGAGATTGAAAATGGGAAAGAAAACAACAATCTGACAGTTATAACATCAGACTTGAAGGGAACATTGTACAGATATGCTCCTGTACAAATAACTTTGCTTCTATATGCTCATCAGCCACTCACATCTGTGTGCATCAGTTCATATAATCAGAGCCAGGCGGCTGGCTGATTGGCATTTTTTTCAAAGACTGGAGTTGTAATGGAATTACTCTTCGCCAACCAAGCATCAAAAGAGTGGCAGGACCCACGATGCACAACAAGGTATCCATTAAAGAAGTTTAATAGATGTTCTGGTAGCAAATATCCACCCAAGGCAAAGCACGATTCAATTTATTCAAAACATTAAATCACATAGAAGGATTCAGCTCAAAAACTCCGACCTTGTTGATGCAATAATTTACATTTATGATCAGACAGCTTTGCTGGAGGTTATCAGCTGTTACAAAAAAATAAAATAAAAATGAACAACCTCTGGCCAAGGAAACCAGCATTTTCATCTATAACCACCTCAACATTGTCACTTGAATGTGGGGAACATAAAGAAATGCCTGTGTGTGCATATTTGTGTGTGTGTGCTGACCTTGTAAGCTATCATCTGGGAGGCCTGCATCCAGCATGAGGTCGCTATCATCCAAATCTGCAGCTCCAGGAGAGTCCAGGTTGTTGAGAATATCCTGAAAAGCACACATATTCAATGTAATAATGTCTACCATATACATTATCATACACATGGTTACATTTTCCTTCAAGAAGAAGATCTTTAATATGCATGAGAATCTGCAGGCAGGGGTTCATGACAAGTAACATGCTAAATCATAATGATATACAGTCTTCACCTGCAATTAATAAATCCCTGCATGCCTTTTTAGTGACAAGTCATTCTGAAGCTTAGTGAATTGTTAGGGGGGATCCCTGGCACTTTTTACATTGAGTGACTTTAATTGCATTGTGAGACTTGTACTTTACCATCACAGTTATATGCTTATTCAAATGCAGTCCAAGGTATTCATTCTCCCCTGTTCCCAAACTATTTTAGGAATAACAACAATCTAGCCTGTCCTATTTGTTGATTTTCTTTTATGCAACTTCAAGTATATTCTCTCCAATATCATGAAGATGTCATCGTTCCACGCAATAAGACAAAGAATAGGAGGTTTTTTTGGAAAACTATCTGCCAATTATGAATGATAATGCTTGAAGCTTTGAAAACAACAACAGGAAAAAAGCCTCGTATCAGCCATAAATATGCAGACAGTCTGACTGCTCCATACCACATATTTCAAAGCATACCCAAAAGCAGAGAACAGAACAGGTGGTTCAAAGCTTTTTTTATTTTTTTATAACATGGATTTTTTTTAGGGTGCTTCGTAGAACCAAAATGGGATTTGACTAGAAGACACGTGCAAAACGAGTTATTACTGAAAATCTCTTGTGCTGCACAATAACTGACTGGTGCCATGTCTTTCAGACTGAATGATAGAAAAATAATGAAGGAATAAACTAAACATTCTGCTGTCTTTCAAAAATTCTCTGTGAAGATGTGGATGATTTTTTTTAAAGAGACTGCATGAATCAACCAGTTTCATTTGTTTTCTGCCCTCATACTTCTTGATCTTTTATTCTACACCTCTTTACCATGTCCCTATAACCTTATGATCCCAATTTCCTGGCTAAAAATGTAATAATTCAAGCGAAACATTTGATAAAACATTGTGAAATGACATTTTTCATAACCTTTTAATTGCAAGGCATGCTTCTTTTTACAGGAGGTGTCTGCTTGTTAACTGATGTTTGGTTTCTTTGTTAGAGACAAACTTACTTTAAAGCTGTTCGGCTGCAACCAAAGTTTTAAGTCTCATTACCTGAATCAAGATACTTTATATTTTTACTTGGCTATTGAATTAAATGTTAACTTATTTTTTTGTTTGTTTGTTATGGTTGTTTTTTAAGCCCTTTTTTACTTGTCATTTTATCCCAAGGCGTTCCCTGGCCAGGCAAGAGACACAGTGCCTCCAGCATGTCCTGGGTCTCCCTTTAGGTCTCCTCTCTGTTGGACGTGCCCGGAAAACCTCACCCAGGAGGTGTCCAGGAGGCATCCTATTCAGATGCCCGAGCCACCTCAACTGGCTCCTCTCAATTTGGAGGAGCAGTGGGGGTCTAACTCTAACCCCCTGAGCCCCTCCCGAATGACCGAGCTTCTCACCCTATCACTAAGGGAGAGCCCAGTCACCCTGCGGATGGCCCTCATTCCAGCTGCTTGTATACGCGATCTCGTTCTTTCGGTCACTACCCAAAGCTCGTGACCATAGAGGAGGGAAGGAACGTAGATTGATCTGTAAATTGAGAGCTTCACCTTCTAGCTCAGCTCTCTTTTCACCACAACAAACCGGTACAATGCCCCGCATCACTGCAGATGCAGCGCCAATCCACCTATTGATCTCACGCTCCAGCTTTCCCTCACTTGTGGCCCCGAGATACTTAAACTCCTATACTTGGGGCAGGACCTCGACCATGGTCTCGGATTTAGAGTAGGGCCCGACCGATATATCGGCCGGCCGATATTATCGGCCGATATTGGGGTCATTAACAGTATCGGCTATCGGCCAAAAAGACGGCCGATATTGTGCTACCTATCCAGCAGATGGCGCCAGCTTTATGAACTCACGTTGTGTGGCTCCACTCCTTTGAACTTTGAACACAAATTATTGTTTTGGAACTTTTATTTATTCTTATTTATGTTTCTTATGTGCAATTATTTCCTGTCTAGGGTGAATAAGTTCACCAAGTTAACTTCCACAGAGTGTTACTTTAGCCCTTTTCAGACAGACATTCTGGAACATTTGCGGACAATTCAATCCGGTTTTTAACCGGAACTGTGTTTTCAGACACACCACTTTTGTACCAGAACTTGTCCTTTCGGCTGCGTTCACACAGCAGGGAAAAGTTCCAGATGTCTGATGGCGGTGGGGGGTGGGGGAGAATCGGACTTATGTTAAGAAGAAGAAGAAGAAGAAGAAAATATCATTTCTATAGCGCCTCTCAAGATAAAAATCACGAGGCGCTTAAGCATAATTCTGCGCACACGAAGACGCATAAGAGACCTGGATGATGAAGCTCAATGGTTAAAGGGATCACTGAAGCGGTGTGAAGCGCTCCGTCGCGCGTCTAGACAGTACCGTAGGAGGCGAGCTGCCGTGGTTCGCCGCATGCTACAGGAGCGAGTTATATAGGTGCGCACAGCGTCCCCCGGTCCCCTCCTCCTCCCCCTACCCCTTGTCCGGAACTCTACCTCACCAGTCTGAAGCAGCCACCCTGTCCGTAACAAGTCCGGACCTGTTACTAGGGGCTTCGTCCGGTTAAATTCCGGAACACGTTATCCGGATGTTTGCATTCAGACAGAAAGGTATTACAGACAGATTCCGGAACATTTCCGTTTTTCATGGCCTGTCTGAAGGGGGCTCTGGTTACAAAGCACAAGTATTACATTTTATTTATTGCTGCATTTTTATTAGTTTAATATTCTTATAGGGATCTTCTGTCCCTAAATGTGTGTGTGTTGTTAGATTCCCCAGAGTTAGCTAAGTCAGAAAAACATTTTGTAACCAGTTGTTTTAGCATAAAGCAATGGAAGGGAAGGCTTGCATAAAAAAACACTACAATGTTTGTGAATTCACTTATATTATTTTATGCTAAACTAAGAAAACCAACTGCTGCCAGATCATATTGGGCTGGTTATAAAATGCTTTTTCTGACTTGTCTAACTCTGGGGAATCTTAACAAGACACACTTTTACTGAGTGGTGGAATATTCCTTTAAGTTAAAATGTATTTGTGGAAACCACAGTTTACAAGAAAAAACTTAAATGTTAGATTTATGCTGTGACTGAGTTTGTGTGTTCTGTTGTTTTTGAGATCTGCTAAATAAATCTTATTTGCATTACTTGGAAACCCTAGTGAGCTATTGAGACAGTTCTTTGGTGTGTAATAGAGAAATAAGTTTGCATCAAAAAGGCAGAGAATGAAGGGTTTAAGCTTAAGAAAATTTGTATTTCTTTTTTGTGAGGGGGATTTATCGGCCATTATATTGGCTATGGGCCTTTGTTAAAAGTTTTATATCGGTATCGGCCCCAAAAAAAGCATATCGGTCGGGCCCTAATTTAGAGGAGCTGATTATCAACCCAGCTGCTTCGCACTCAATTCAAGCTTATTTATATAGCGCCAAATCTTGACAAGAGTCGTCTCAAGGCACATCACATAGTACACATTCCAATACAGGTCAGTTCATTAAGCCATTAGCAAATTGCATCAAGTCACTGACTAGTGTCAGTGACTTTACAGCAATCCTCATACTAAGCAAGCATGTAGCGACAGTGGAGATGAAAACTCCCTTTTAACAGGAAGAAACCTCCAGAGGATCCTGACTCAGTATAAACAGCCATCCACCATGTCTCACTGGGGATTGAGAAGACAGAGCAGACACACGCATACACCAACACCAGCCCACCCACACACAAACACACATCCACACACACAACATATATACCAAGTAATAGTTCTATGGTTACATTGTGATTTCTTAGTAAATATTCTATTTGGTGAGAGATAAACTTTATTGTATTGATCATAGTGAATCTATAATTAAATGGGTAAACTAGTAGTAGCACAAACCACTCCAGCAAAAGTAGGAGATCACGTTCTGATAAAGCCAACAGGACCACATCATCTGAAAAAGCAGAGAACCGATCCTCAGACCACCAAAAATGGATGGCTGCACCTAGAAATCCTGTCCATTAAAGTTCTGAACAGAATTGGTGATAAAGAGCAGCCTTGTCAGAGTCCACCTCTCACTGGGAACAAACCCGACTTACTTCCAGCAATGCAGACCAAGCTCTGGCACCGGTCATACAAAGACCTAAGAGCCCTCATCAGAGGGCCTGGTACCTCATACTCCCGGAGTACCCCCCCCACAGGACCTCCGGAGGGATGCGGTCAAACGCCTTCTCCAAATCCACAAAACACATGTAGATTGATTGGGCGAACTCCCACGCACTCTCCAGAACCCCCCTAAGGGTATAAAGCTGGTCCAGTGTTCCACGGCCAGGACGAAAACCACATTGCTCCTCCTGAATCCGAGGTTTGACAATCCAATGGACCCTCCTCTCCAGAATTCCTGAATAGATCTTACCAGGAAGGTTCAGAAGTGTGATCCACCTGTAGCTGGACCACACCCTGCTGTCCCCCTTTTTTAAATAGGGGGACCACCATCCCGTTCTGCCAATCCAGTGGAACTGCCCCAGATGTCCACACGATATTGCAGAGCCCCATCAGCCAACACAGCCCTACGACATCCAGAGCCTTAAGGAATTCAGTGCATCCAACCCTGGAGCCTTGCCACAGATGAGCTTTTTGACAACCTCAGCCCCAGAGATAGAGCAGTCCAACTTAAAGTCCCCAGGCTCCGCTTCCTCACTGGAAGACGTGCCAGTGGGATTGAAGAGGTCTTCAAAGTATTCCGCTCATTAATCCACATCATTCCGAGTAGAGATCAGCTGCACACCGTTCCCTCTGTAAACAGTGTTGGTAGTGCACTGCTTTCCCCTCCTGAGGCGCAGGATGGTGGGCCAGAATCTCCTCGAAGCCGTGTTCTTCAGTTAAATAAATAAATACACTGGTGC